CCGGGGCAGGACCCCCGCCTCACCTGCAGCACCAGGGCCTGCGCGGCGCCAGGCGGGAAGCCCATGCGGTCGGTAGGGTGGCGCAGCAAGCGGTAGAAGTCGGTCTTTCGGTAGAGGAACCCGAAGAGCACGCGCAGGAAGTCCTGGACGTTGCCCACATGCTGCAAGATGCCCAGCAGGGCCTGGTCATACAGCTCTGCAGCTCCAGGATCCATGTCGCCGCCGCTGAGGAACGCGCACTCCACAGGCACCGCCTCACACCCGCCGACTCGCCACTTCCGGCGTCCACGCATAACGGATCCCCCAGGACGTCAAGGCCTCGGAACTTCCGGTCCGCGACTGCTCCACCTCCCTTCTCCGGACTGCTTTCCCGAGATAACACTGCCCCTCGGGGCTTTCCCCTCAGCAGCCCCCAGCTAAAAGATCGGGACGTGGGAACGGAGGTGGCGCCTACGCGAGTAGTCTGGTACTGTAGCTGCTGTGCTGAGGGCACCTGGAAGCCAAATTTGAAGCGGGCGGAAGGGACATGGTGAGGGCAAAGTCACATGGTATGCGTCATGCTTACACAGTGTCTGTCCAAGTATTGTCTTGCAAAAGTTTTACCAAACATAGAGTAACCCCGACTCCGTGAGACATTTTTTAAAACATTAGAATAAAATTGTTGGGTTGGATACTAAGCAGGTTGGTGTTCCACAAAATTATAAAACTGTAGGTTATCTTTCCTAGTGGATAAAAATGAGTGGTATCTGTATTGGACTAATATAGGCAAGTTAGCATATCTTCATAGTGTATAGGTTCTAATGAATTTTAAAAGAAGTCATACTGAGGTAAATTGCCCTACATGAGTGATTCTGAAACTTCTTTTGCCTTGGAACCCATTTATAGTCTTAAAAATTGGTGAGGGTTCCATAGAACTTTTATTTCTGCTTATCAATATTTACCATATTGGAAATAAAAATTTAAAATATTTTCACGTTTTTAAACACATCATATGCTATCTACTTTTATTAAAAATAATATTTGAAGCAAAAAAGCGTAGCATAGTTTCTACATTTTTGTAAATCTTTTTTTGGTATTTGGGTTGTTTGGAGAGGGTTTTTTATTTTGTAGTTGTTGTTTTTGTCTTTTTTTTTGTTTTGGTTTTTTTTTTTTTTTGAGATAAGATCTCACTTTGTCATTCAGACTAGCCCCGAACTCGAACTCGCTGTGTAGCCCAGGCTGGCCTCAAACTCTCAGTGATCTTCCTGCCTCAGCCTCCAGAGTTCTGGGATTACAGGCATGCACCACCACACCTGGCTTGGTTTTTGGTTTTTTCAGACGGGTCTTCCTATTGTAAGAGCCTAACTGAACTAGAGTGACTCCATGTTGACCAGCAAATGACCCAGAGACTGTCGTTCCCCCCCATCCCTTATAGGATAACTAATGATTAATTGTGAATTGTTAGGTAACTGCTTAGAAGTAGCTGGGAAACTAAATAGAAACTGTAGTGAACATAGAGACCCAACATCAATCACGCCACTCCTTACTTGCCTGTAGTTGAATGTTCTAAACACCATAATCTAAATTGTAAATGGAACAATGGATAATCGATTTGCTGATCATTAGTACGTAACGGTTGAGTATATGACTGATGACCACCAGTTCAGATCAACTGATTCTTTGCCTGATTCTTTGCCTTTGTCCCCTTCCTGTAAGTTTTGAGTGTAACCCCCCCGCATAGGCCTATATAAAATGGCCTCTGTTTCTGAGCTAGCTGCCTCTCTAAGCTACTTAGCTCCGGGAGTGCCATCTGGCCAGACTAATAAAGGTCTATTTACCAACTAGCCTGGTGTGTTCCTTCCTGGGTATCTCTCGCTGTCCAACAAGCTCCTGGAGCATCGCCAAGCTTTAGGGCTCAGCATCGTGGAGGCCTTTTGGCTGTTCATGCTCCATGGAGTAAAAGTGAGACTTTAAATCTTACACTATGTAATTTAGGCTGGCCTTGTACTCACTATGTAGCCCAGGCTGGTCTCAAACTCGAGGCAATCCTCTGTGTCAGCCTACCTGAAGCAGGACTTAAAGAAAAACAAGTTCTTCCCAGCCTTGGGCAGTTCCCCAGCCTTAAGCTCACACACATACACACACACACACACACACACACACACACACACACACACACACACACTCCCTGTAGCTAGAAACCCTTGTTCTGATAATGTCATCTTATTCTCGCAAGAATTCGCAGGGCTCTGACTTCTTTCAAGACTAAGTTACAAGGCAGTTACTATTGTGGGATACATGACTGACTGCCTTTGTCACACTTCTGTAACCTCACTTGCCCACACACACGCACACCTAGCTTCACTTCACTGGAAGGACCACCACCACCCTCCCATACCATGGACCATATGTATAAAACTGGATCATTGCTCTTCCTTTATAAATTTTTTTTTTTGTACAGGGGATCAAACTGAGGACCTTGGGCTGGCAAGGCAGGTGGTGGAACCACTGAGCTAAATCCCGGGCCATTGCTCTTCCTTTAGACAAGTGTCAGTTGAGCCAGTGTTCACCTAAAACCTGAACTAAATCCTCCTGATTTCCCATTGGTTTCTCCCGTCTCTTTTATCCCACAACATACCAAGTGCTGGGGTTGTAGGTGTGCACCACCACACCCAGCCTGCAAATCCCTTTAATGTCCAGCTTGATAGATGACAGTAAGATCCTCACACCTTCTGCACTGACCCCATTGCAGTATGTTACTCTAATTGAAGAATATGAACATTCCAACCTCACACAGATAGTTGGGGATGAAAGTGTTTCAAAATGAAACTGGCAAAATTATTGTACAAATGGAAAGCAGTGAAGAGTTCAAAGCTCAGTGCATACTAGTGGAGTTTGTGCCTAATATAAAATGAATGAGGCCCCTAGAATTTGTATATTGGAGCTATCACCCCCATTTTGACTGTATTTGGAGATGGGACCATTAAAAGGTAATTAAAGGTAAATGGGTCATAAGAATAGAGCCCTACCCTTGAAGAGTGAAGAAGAGCTGTGTGTGGTGTTACCTGTAATCCCCACATGAATGAAGTGAGGCCAGAGGATCAGGAGTTTGAAGTCCCAGAGGGGGGAGGAGGAAGAGAGCCCAGAGACCTCACTGTGTGTACAGAGAAGAAAGGTGGCATGAGAACACAGTGAGATTGCTACATGCCAGATAGCAATCCTGACAGCCCCCTGATGCTGGACTTCTGGCCTCTAGAGCTGGGAGCGAATGCACTCTGTAAAGCCACTTCTCTCTGCTGCTTTGTGCAACAGTCCTAGCAGACTAGTGCCACAGCCCTGAGTCCTGCTAAGACACCACAGTAATACCCACCATTGCTTTTGCACCATTACTACCAACGCCAACATAATAAAAAGGCAAATAACATCACAGTGTTGTTATATTTGCCTGGCAGACACCCCTCCCAATGTGTACATGCTACACTGAGAACTGCCACCCTAAAGATTTGTGCATCCCTGGGTGCACCTGTTATGTGATACCTCACTATGACTTTGATTTTTTTTCTTTTTTGGAGGTTTTTGTTTTGTTTTTTGAGGGTTTGTTTTTTGGTTTTATGTTTGTTTGTTTGAGACAGGGTCTTGCTAGGCAGTACAGGTTCTCTTTGAACTCACTGGGTAAACCAGGCAATCCTCCTGTGTCAGCCTCATAAGTGCTGGGATTATAGGCGTGCACCACCATGCCTGGTTTATTATGACTTTGAAGGGACATGTGGTCATCTTGCCACATTTCACAGTTTTGAATAATTTCTCTTAACATCACAAGAGCTGAGCACAGTGGTACATGCCTGTCATCTCAGCACTAGGGAGGCTGAGGAAGTAAGATCATTGCAAGTTTTAGGCCAGCCTGGGATACACAGTGAATTTAAAGCCAGCCTGGACTATAATAGCGAAACTTTGTCTCAAAAAAGAAAACAAAAAAACACCTCCTGAGAGAGGAGTGTTGGCACAGGCCTGTAATCCCATCACCCAGGTGGCTGAGAGTGTGTAGCAAATTCCAGCCTAGCCCATTCCTACGCAATTCAGGCGAGCCTGGACTACAAAGACAGACCCTATCTCAAAAAGAAAAAGCCAGGCATGGTAGTCGTTTGCATAGCGGTTCCTCCTACCTCAGTGCAGCCCTGGACTCTCCAGCAGTTCCCCAGGTGTCCGCCACTTCACAGGCAACGCTAGGAAGGGAGAAGCTGGGCCCCCTGCACCCCAGCTGACTCCCACACTCTGCCCCCTGCAGGCGGCGACCTGCTTATCACAGGTACAACAAAGCAGGGGCTGGCCCAGGGCCTGGCCATCCTGCAGAGGGAGGGGAAATTGCACGCACGCGCGCGCGCGCACACACACACATCTTCGCAAACCACTGCTTCACACAGGTATTATCTGCATCATTTACAAAATTTACCCTAAATCCAGAGGCAGCCAGAATAAGGCACCATTTTTGCATGTGAAATGTTTATTAAGCATCATGTACTTTGCATAGACCAAGTTGCTCTAAGGTTTTTTTTTTTCTTTGATTTTATTTTTCTTTCTTGAGACAGGGTCTTGCTACACAGTTTAGGCTGGCCTTCAAATCACTGTGTAGCCCAGGCTGGCCTTGAACTCATGGTGATCCTCCTTCTACTGAGTGCTGGGATTACAGCCAAACTCCAACACACATATCCAGTAATGCCCAGAGGTTCTACACGGAGGCCCAGTTGGGTGGCTTGAGGTAAAGGGCAACCTCTGAAGTAGGAGGACCTGCCCAGCCTCCAAAACTCCCAGCCTTCAGTGGCTGGGAGCCACACAGTGGCCCTGACTTTCAGCACAGTCTTACCAGTGGCTGGAACTGGAGGCCAAACCAAATTCCATTTTCCATATGGAGTGAACCACTGAGGTCCTTCCCTCCAGAGAGAACCCTGGGTGGTGGATCTGTAGGGACCCTTTGCCTCTCCCTGGTCTCCTGCAGCCCAGGGTGAGGCCACTCTTGTTGAGGACACAGCTGAATGACAGCGAATAGAGACTGTTGTTGTTATTGCTGCTGTTGTTGAGACAAGGTCTCCTGTGATCTGGAGTGGCCTTGAACTCATGGTGGTGATCCTCCTGCCTCAGCCTCTTTAGTGCTGGGATTATAGGGATGCACCACCATGTCTGGTTCAAGAATGGAGGCTTTTTTGACAGGAGACTTGACAGAAGGAAGAAGTGGGTGAGAGGCAGGCATCTGTGAGAAAGTCCAAGCCCAGGGTCAACATTGAGTTTGCCTACACAAGGGCTCCAAGACATGGGTCCAGAAGGATAAGACCATCTCAGCTGGCCAAGGCCTGAAGGACACAAAGGAGCCACCATGGTGCTGCTGGACAGCTCATGGCCCGAGTGACAGCTGCCTTCCTGGAGCAGTGTCTCCCAAGCGCTGAGGAGGGGTAGGCAGTCAGAGCTGCAGGGCAGGTGCTCCCACCCACTCATGGGCAAAGCGCTGATGTAGGCCACAGTTGCCACAGCAGGGCCATTGAAGCCATGGTTGATGTAGGGGTAGGCAGTGGGGGCACTGGGAGGCAGGGGCTGCTTGGGGCAGGAGGTCTTTGGGGCTGTTGCCACTCCCTGAAGTCACTCTTACTCCAGCACCAAGGCAGGGTTGACATCGGGCCCTGCAAAGGGACAGGAAGGAAGCCCGAAGTCAGAGGTTGCACAGGGGTGCAGCACAGAGCAGGCAGAGCCGCAGCCTCATCTGCACCTCCCGCAGTAACGGCACCGGAAGTAGACTCTGGAAGCCCCAGACTTCTTCCGAACAACCCACACTGACACCTGCAGCCACCCTCCTCCACCTTCTTTCTTCAAACTGAACTAATACTGCCACAATGAGCTATGTCCCCAGCCCTCCCCTTTGTTTTTGGTTGTCTTTTTAAGACAAAGTCTCACTATGTAGTTCAGGTTGTCCTTATACTCATTATATAGCCCAGGCCGGCCTCAAACTCACAGCAATCCTCTTGCCTCAGCCTCCCAAGTGCTGGGATTATAGGTCAGTGTCACCATACCCAGCTTTTTTTTTTTAATTTTGAGACAAGTTATCACTAAATTGCTTAATTCTCAGGCTCAGGTTGAACTTGCAATTCTCCAGCCTCATCCTCCCAGAATGCCAGGATAACAGGTGTGCACCACCTCGCCTGCCTGCTGGCACAAGTTAAAGTGGAAGGTATCAACAACTGGCATTAACAATAACATTGACCGGCTTTGTCAAAGGAAATATTAAGGGATGAGGTCAAAGATTCGGCCACAAGCTTACTCACTACAGCCCTGGCAATAATAATGGAAAGTTGGGCAGGGGATTTAGCTTGGTGTTTCCACTGCCTGCCTCCCAAGTGCAAGGTCCCAAGTTTGATCCCCAGTACTACTATTACTACTACTACTACTACTACTAATAATAATAATAATAATAATAATGAAAAGTCAGAAATAGTCTAAAACAGGGCTGGAATTCAGTTCAGGGGCACCATGCTTGCCTTGCAAGCCCAAGGTCCTGAGTTCAATCTCTGGTACCAAAAAAAAAAGTCTAAAACAGTTGGAAGCTGTTTTATGAATAAATTGTTTATAAATAAATTATAGCAGAACCCTATGATAGGATAGTGTATTCCAACTCTAATTTGCCACTCATTAATGAGTCATAAAATCACTTTGGTAGGCTAACACCAGCATTTTTTTAGTTAACAATAGACTAGAACCAAGGATATTAGCATGCTTCATGAGAAGTAAGAACTAGTATCAATCATATTTTGTGAAACATTTTGTCTCAGATATGTATATCTCAGGCATGGTGGCACACACCTGTGATCCCAGCACTCAGGAGGCTGAGGCAGAAGGATTGCCACAAGCTGGAGGCAGTCTGGGCTACATAGTGAGCTTAAGGTCAGTCTGAACTACAAAGCAAAACCCTGTCTTTAAAAAAGTCTAACAGCAGCACAGTGGCCTCTGAATCAGTGTTTGAGACACAAATCTGCTGACACAAGTGTTCACAACACGTGAAGTGAATGAAGAAGAGAAGCTTTCCCAGATAGGAAGTGTGGACAGGCCTTGGCAGTGTGAGTTCACGGCCCTGACTTTCCCAGGGACCACGTGCTGCTGCAGCTGTCCCTGAGCAGCCTGGCAGGAGTGGCCGGCACTCACCCAGGTAGCTAAGGATGACAGGCAGGAAGACCAGGCTGTGTACCAGGCCCACCACGGTGATCAGGAAGTTGAGGCGGAAGAAGAAGATCTGGATGAGCTGGGCCTGGGCCAGGCTCAGGATGAGGATACCCGGCAGGTTGGTCATGGCCACCCCAGCGAATACCTGGGGGGGTGACAGCCAGGCGTCAGGTGGGCACAGGGTATCATGGTGGGCATGGGCAGCCCAGGCCCTGCCACTCACCGCACTGCCCATAGAGATGGTGGCCTCCCTGGCCCTCTCCAGCCGGCTGGGCTTGGTGCTGATGGCAAAGGAGCGAGTGATGTGGGACACAAACTCCACAGACATACCCACTGCCTGCGAGTAGAGGCCGGATTTAGGGGAGACAGAGGCAGGAGGAGACATGGGGACAATGGAGGAGCTGTCCAGATTCTGGGCAGAGCCAGGCATGGCTCAGCAGCCACCCCTCCTCCCCAGAGTCCCCTGGTGCCTGTGTCCCGCCCTTACCGCTACCAGGTTGATGAGGGACACGGCATTGTAGCTGATGTCCCACATGGCCATGAGGCCAGTGGTGTCCACGAGGATCATGATGATGACGAGCAGGTTGAGGAGGCCGGAACGGATGTCCATGCCCAGCAGGAAGTAGCAGACCAGGAAGGTGGGCAGGAAGCAGAGCGCCAGCGTGAAGACGCCCTCAGGTAGCACAGTCAGGTACTGCTGGTAGAACACGTTGGTTATCCTGCCCAGGGAGAGTTTGGTGATGCACAGGCTGAAGAGCCGTTCAGATGAACTGGATACCCCATTTCAGAAGAATACACTGAGGCTCAGTGACGAACAGTCTAGAGACAGACAGATGCCAGGCCACCACTGGAGCCTCCTGACCTGAAGCTGTCCCTGACCCCTGGAACCTCTTGGAAGCCTGCTGTCCGGACCTCCCCCACCCAGCAGTTACCTCCCACCATCCTCCGGCGCAACTCCCAGGCCCTCACGTGTAGGGAAAGACCTCGAAGGACGGATCTGTCCCCGGCACCTTCCGCAGCTCAGCTGTGATGTTGTTGGCCAGCAAGCGCGTGGCCTGGAGGGCCTCTGTGAAGTCCTGAGAGTTCTTCAGGGGCTTGTGGTAGGCCATGAACTGAGAGGCTGGGCAGCACATGGGAGAGGAGAGGTCGAAGGTCAGAGCCTGCCGGGGACACCGTCAGAGTATACCAGGGGCAGGGGCTTGGGCGTGGGATCAGGCCAAGCTCAGGGCACTGCCATCACCACTTCAGATGCCAAGCACATTTTGTGCAAGGGGCCCACATTTTTGTTTTGCCACACCCCTGAGAACTCTGTAGTCGGCCCAACTACCACAGAAACTCCAAATTCAGCAATGGCAGATGGAGCCACAAGAAAGCTCCCTGATGCTCCCAAAGCCTTCTCTACCTGGTTTCAAAATATGCAAGGGAGTGCAACGTCCTGAGTTGGTTCTCCAGTACCAAAAACAAAAAACAAAACAAAAAAACAACAAAAATATGCATGAGAAGCCAGATGTGGTGGCGCATGCCTATAATCCCAGCACTGGGGAAGCTGAGGCAGGAGGACCGCTGTGATCCAAGGCCAGCCTAGGCTACCTAAGGAGCTCAAGGCCAACTTGGACTACATAGGGAGACCCTATCTCAGAAAACTAACCAAACAAAAAAAGATGCACAGGAAAAGATGCACAGGATTATTTAAATTAGCTTCATTCATTTTTCAAATGTGCATGTTTCTACAGTATAGGACTAGAAAGGAAGACAGAAAAATGAAAACTATTCAGTTGTCAGAGCTGTGGCTTAGGACTCCTGGCAGTAAATAAGGTCTTCAGCTAGTAATTTCAAGTGATTGTTTCAGAACAAAGTGAGAGAATCCATCAAAATTTCCCCTAACTGTCTGGCCCTCAGGCCACCTCTGTGCCAGCTGCCCCAGGGTCCCCACATGAGCTGCAGCTGGCTCCCACCTGCAGGTGGCCATCTGGTTCTGTCACCTGCTGCAGAAGACTGACAATATGTCACAGTCCTACTCTCTGTCAGTCTGACTACATCTCCCTCATTACTGGTAGTGGCTGCTGGGGTTTTGCCACTCTGAGGCATCCTAACTCATTTAGGCAACAACCTGGCACTCACAGCATGGCGGTGCATGCCTGTTATCCCAGCACTCTGGGAGGCTGAGGCAGGAGGCTCACAAGTTCCAGACCAACCTAGGCTACTTAGCAGTGTAGCAAGATCCTGTCTAAAAATACAGATTTTAAAAACGACTGGAGTGTAGCTCAGTGCAAAGGCCCTGGATTCAATCCCCAGGATCACAAGAACAACAAAAATACTACGCATGCATGAAAAAGTGCTTAGCCCAGGGCTGGAGTGATGTATGGTCCTGAGTATGTCATCAACTGCCGAGGGTGCCACTGATGTCACTCTGACTGTGGACTGAGGGGAGAAGGGGTACAGTCTGAAGATGTGGGTTGGGAAGCCAGGCCTTTGCTGACCAGGCCAGCACCACTGGAAGCTCCCTCAGAGGGCAGAGAGGAGAAGATGCAAGGTGGGGAGAGGCTGCTCCCTGGAGCTCCTGGTGACATCTGGAGCTACAACCTGGGTTCTTCCCCCAAGCAAAGCCTTGCTTACCTATAACCTGTCCATCTGCGCTCAAGTTCACAGAGGTGCTGTACGCCGCCATGCCACTGCAAGGGGGCAGAGCACGAATTAGTGAGGTGAGTCCTCCTCCCAGTTCCCCCCACCACACTCCAGAGAGGCCCCTCCTGCCCCACACCCCTCTGTGGATGCCTCTCCCTGGTCCACACATCCACGCTCCCTGGAGGACGCCCCTCTTGCTCCTACCCCTTGGGACAGTTGATATTGGGCAGGTCAGTCAGGAACCAGGGAAGGTACTTGTGGAACTCCTCCACTGTGGGCCGCAAAGGGCCGGTCGTGAAGCTCATGCAGTTCTTTAAGCATAGAAAGGCATCTGCAGAGAGAGGTGGGCTCTGGGCGGCAGCCCCCACAGTGGCAGCTCCTATTCTGAGCCCCTTCTCCTCTGCCCCTATTCAAGGGAATTTGCACCTCCTGGGAATTTGCACCCTGCGTCTCTGACTAGGGGAGCCGAAATACTGGTGTGGACAGCCAGAAGGCAGGTTTGGAGCAGGAAACCCCGGCTCGCCCCCTACCTCACAGTAGCTCCCACTCCAGCTAGGCACCAACCTTAGTGCATGTGCCCCAAAATCCCGGGTACCACGCACCAGGGAGTGCAAGAGTATGGATGCCCAGGTTCCCACCCTGAGGCCCAGCTGTGCCCCTGCCCCCACTGTACCCTGCATGGGGGGGAGGTTGAGAGAGCCTCGTCTGCCCTTTCCTCTCTCTTGCCTCAGTTTCCCTAAGCTGCAAGGGCCAAGGAGTCCCCAAGGCCCCATGCTTACTCTCCGTTGAGGGACAGAACTCGTCCTTATGGGGACCCAAGGTATATATGCGGCAGCAGGTGGATGGGGTCAGCCAGTCGATGAAGTCGTCCACCCAGGAGGAAGCAGGGATGGCCAGGTACGACCTGGGGCCGGCAGGGGAGGTGAGGGCCAGGGCTATGGACAGCACAGGATCTTGACCCAGGGGCTTAACCCAGGCAGGGGCAGAGGCAGCAGGAAGATGGGCAGGTGGGAGTGCAGGACATAGATAGGGTGCAGGCTGGGGGCCAAGGGACGAGGCTCTTACTGGTCCGGGAACTCAGTGGCATACTGGATCTTCTGGGTCAAAGAGAAGGGGTCGCAGCCTGCGCTGGAGCAGATAGCATTCATACCAGCCTCGCTGGAGAAGTTGTAGCCTGAGGTGGTGACAAAGTACACAGGGGGCCCCACCTCAAAGTATCGGTTCACAAAAAGGAAGTAGTCGAGCAGGTAAGAGTCCTGGGAAGGAGGAGAACCAAGGAGTCTCAGGAGGCCACATACCGCCCCCGAAGCTGGTGCCAGCTCATATTCAGATATTGATTCTAGGGCTCTGGATTTCACTCAGTGGCACTGCACCTGCCTCACAAGTGCAAAGTCCTGAGTTTGATCCCCAGTACTGCAAAAACGACACTGATTCTGTCAAAACAAAGCAACCTTTCGATCCCCGGTACCAAAAAAAAAAAAAAAAAAAAAAAAAAAAAAAAAAAAAAAAAAGGCAACCTAAAGAGTCAATGTAATACCAATACCATTTTCTTAAAAAATAGAAAACTTTGCCCTACAGTTCATAAGGATCTGGGTGTAGTGGTGCATGCTTATAATCCCAGCTACTCGGGATGCTGAGCAGTCTGTCTGGGCAGCTTAGTGAAATTTTATATCAAAAATTTAAAACAGGGTGCTGGGGTGTGGCTTAGTGGTGGAATGCTTACCTAGCATACACAGGCCTCTGGGTACAATCTTCAGTACCACAAAGGGAAAAAATTCATATAGAGTTTCAAGGGAATCCAAACAGCCAAACTAAGCTGGATGTCACAAGCCTATAATCTGAGCATGAAGAAGGCTGAGGCAGGAAGATCACAAGTCAAAGCCAACCCAGGGTACATAGCGAGTTCAAGCCTAGCCTGGGCTACATAGTGAGACCCTGTCTCAAAAATAAAAATCTTGGGCCAGGATTTAGCTCAGTGGTTCCACCACCTGCCTCGCAAGTGCAAGGTCCCGAGTTCGATCTCCAGTACCAATAAATAAATAAATAAATAAATAAATAAATAAATAAATAAATAAATAAATAAATAAATATCTTGACAAAACAAAGCTGGAAAACTCACATTATCTGATTTGAAAACTTGTCATAAAATTACTATAGTAATCAAAACAGTGTGGTATGAACAGAAGGACATGTAGATCAATGGAACAGAAATATAGAAATCAGAAATAAATACATATATGGTCAAAGTATTTTTTAATGAAAGAGTGTTCAAACTATTCAATGGGAGAAAGATAGACTTTTCACCAAATGGTGCTGGAAAAACTAGATGTCTACACGCAAAGGAATTATGTTTGGGCCCTCACTACACATCACACACAAAAGTTAACTGGAAAAGGAAGGAACAAGAAAAAAAAGTGAAAATGAAGGAAAAAATAGAAACAAATCTTTTGAACATAGGGAGGGGAGGGGTGTAAGGTGAGGGGGGATGGGATAAAATAGAATTTATATTTAAAAAGTTAACTGGAAATGAACCAATACTTTAAATCAAGACCCAATGATTCACCAGGCATGGGGGCACACGTCTGTAATCCCAGCACTCAGGAGGCTGAGGCAGAAGGATCTCTGTGAGTTTGAGACCAGACTGGGCTACATAGTGAGATCCAGGTCAGTCTCAACTACATAGTGAGACCCTGTCTCAAACAAACAAACAAACAAACAAACAAACAAACAAAAAGATCCAACAATTCTTAGAAGCTATAAAATATAGAAGGGATTTAGCTCAGTGGTGCTGCCACCTGCCTCAAAAGCACAAGGTCCTGAGTTCGATCCCTGGTACAAAAAAGGGGGGATTGGGGCCAGGGACTTAGCTCAGTGGTTCCGCTGTTTGCCTCTCAAACACAAGGACCCAAGTTTGATCCCCGGTACACCCCCCCAAAAAAAAGCTATAAAACTCTTAGAAGAAATGGAAATTTCATGACACTGGTTTTGGTAATTATTTCTTGGACATGACACCAAAGACACAGTCAACAAAAGAAGAACATAGGACTGCATAAATTCTCTTAAATCTGTGCATATATAACACTATCAGTAGAATAATAAGGCAACTGTCATGGTTTAGATTTTAAAATGTCACTCAAAAGTCCTCTGTTCAGGGCAGGGCTCTCAGAAGGTGAGTTCATAGCAGCTGTGCTGTTAGGAAGTAGGGCCTGGTCTGAATAGGTGGATCACTGGGGGTGCATTCCTGTCCCTGGTCCCTTCTCTCCCTGCTTCCTGGCCACCATGACATGAGCAGGTTTCCTCTTCCTGGCTCTCCTACCATGCCTTGGAGCCAGCAGAGCAGGGACTGAATTTCCTGAAACTGAGCCAAAATATTCCTCTTCTCCTTTTATTTTTTTAAAATTTTTTTATTTATTTTTTTGGGGGGTACTGGGGATTGAACTCGGGTCCTTACACTTGCAAGGCAGGACACCGAACCGCTGAGCTAAATCCCTGGCCCTATCTTCTCCTTTAAATTGTGCATTTTGGGGGATTGTGCCCAGCAATGGGAAAACTGAATAATATAGCAACCCACAGAATGGGAGAAACAGGCAGATTTGCAAACCTGATATCCATGACCCATACACATGACATGCACAAGCTCTACACTGAACAGCCCTGAATCCCACACCCGCTGGAGCTGATGTACACACACACACACACACACACACACACACACACACACACACTAAAATGGGAAAAGGAGTTAAATAAACATTTTCCCATACAAGAGACATGAATGGCAAATAAGTACATGAAAGGATGTGCAGTAAGATACAAAATCAACGTACAAAAGTAAATAGCTAAGCTGTGGAAACAGCCTCAATGCCACCAGCAGATGAACAGACAAGGAGAAGTGGAGTGTACACAAAACAGGATGCTAAGCAGTTATAAAGAAAAGTGAAATCATGTCGCTTGCCAGAAATGGACAGAACTGAAGAGCTATCATCTTATGCAAAATAAGCCAGACTCAGAAAGCTAAATATCAAATGGGCTCTCTTGCTGGGCCTGGTGGCACCTGCCTGTAGTTCCAGCACTCAAGAGGCTGAGGCAGGAGGATCGCCATGAGTTCGAGGCCAGCCTGAGCCTTACAGTGAGACTCTGGCTCAAAAAAAAAAAAAAAAAAAAATCAAATGGTCTCTCTTAGATGAAAAAACAAACAAATAAATAAAGAAATATAAGAGATGACAGGAAACTGGAAGGTAGAATTTTAGAGAGGAGGAAGTGAGTTTAGGGGGAAGTGGGTAATGGAAATTAAAATAATCAAAATATGCTATATGTATGTACTGAAATGAATCTCATTACTTTGCATCACTAATATGTACCAATATCAACTATTAGGGAAATTCTTTTTTTTTTTTTTTTTTTTTTTGAGACGGGGTCTCACTATGTAGTTCAGGCTGGCCTTGAACTCACTATGTAGCCCAGGCTGGCCTCAAACTAGCATTGATCCTCCTGCCTCAGCCTCCCTCCTGAGTGCTGGGATTACAAGCATGCACCACCACTCTTGGCGTATTAGGGAAATTCCCATCAAAACCAGAGCAAGGGCTGAGGATTTAGCTCAGTGGATACACTGCCTGCCTTACAAGTGCAAGGTCCCAAGTTCCATCCTCAGTACCAAAAACAAACAGACAAACAAACAAACAAACAAAAAACCCACAGCGAAATAGCTCCCATTTCACACCCATTACAGGATGACCATCATCAAAAGTCTCAGCGTAGGCTGGGGTGTGATGCACTGGTAGAGAAGACACCAAGCCACTTCAGACCCTGTGTTCGAGCCCCAGCACCATATAGAAATAGAAACAACCATTGGTGGGGATTTGCACACAGGGCAGGCACTCAGTGAGTTAGTTGGCAGATACCCATGTGGCTGCCTCGCACCCCCGGCCTTCCTGACGCCCCTCCTGCTGTGGCCTGAGGCTGGCATGAAGCTGTCACGCTTTGCAGACACGATGTCCTCCTCTCTCCTGGTGCACCAGGGGCGGCCATCGAGGTGATGAGTGATGCTCCAGGGCTGCCAGGCCTCGGGGACCAGGGGCCAGGAAGATAGATAGCAGGCTCACCTTGGGCAGTGCCAACTGCTGGTCCAGCCCCACGACGAGGTGACTCATGCAATAGAGGCTGAATCCAAACAGGGCCAGGAACAGCAGCAGCTGGGGTGGGAACTGCATGTAAGACTCACCTGCAACAGCCCCATCAGCCCCAGAGCTTGAACCAAGCTGGGGCCCCACAAGCAGCACCCCCCACCCTGCTCTGCCGGCCTGCCTCAGAGTGCCCACTCACCACAACTGGGCGGGTGAAGCCATGCAGCAGAAAGGGGGTGTATTTCTTGCGGAAGAAGCTGAGCAGGAGACCCTCCTTCGGGTCGGGTGGGGGCAGCTTCCGGGGAGCAAGGCAGCAGAAGATGTCGGGGCGGAGGGCCTGTAGGGGGCAGCTACTCAGTGGGACCCAGGCCAGACCCCGTGCCTGCCTCACCCTGGGCAGTGCCACCATCATCACATCCTGGGGACAAAGAGCTGTATCCTTTTGTTTTGTTTTGAGACAGGGTCTCACTATGTAGAGACTGGCCTGAAACTCACTATGTAGCCCAGGCTGGTCTGGAACTCACAGCGATCCTCCTGCCTCAGCCTCCCCAGTACTGGGATTACAGGCGTGTGCCACCACGCCCAGCTTCCTTTTGTTTTGTTTTGTCGAGACAAAGTCTCACTACATACTCCAGGTTGACCTTGAAACTCATTATGTCACCCAGGCTGGGCTCAATCTCATGTCAATCCTCCTGCCTCAGCCTCCAGGGTACTGGGATCAGAGAAGTACGCTAGATGCCCTGCTTGCATCCCACTCTGCCACCTCTGCGACAATGGGGCCATATCTCCTGGCAGGACAGGGCCCTTGGTACCTCTTGCCTCTTGCTGTCCAGGGAGAGCAGGGCCACGAAGGCAGTTATCTGCAGCAGGAAGTTGAGGAAGACCGCCAGGCCAGAGGTCATGGCGAAGGTCCGCACTGCTGGCATGGGGGTCAGGGCTCCTGTGGAAGGAAGGGCAGTAAGGGTACCCCAGCATCACAGGCAGCATGCAGAGGGCAGGCCCTCCCTAGCCCCTGTCACCAGCCCCGCAAGACAGACCTGGGTAGGGTCAAGGGACACCTGGCTCACCCAGGAAGAAGCAGATGGTCTCTGAGAGGCTGCAGAGCAGCATGCTGGGGCCCACGCTACCCAGGGCTCGGCCGATGTGGGCCTCTCGCCCCTCCCCAGGTCTCCGTGGCATCCTCTGTGTGGGAGCGGCAGACGGAGGGCCCAGGATCAGCCAAGGACGCTGTCCCTGGGACTGACCCTCCTGATCCACAGTCACCTCCTGCTTTCAAGGTGGGCTTGGACACCTGCATGAGCTCCAAGTATCCCAGGAGCCCTAAATGCTCGCCAGCAAGGAGAGGCCATGTGGACTCTGATTTTGGTTTTCCGTGGAATGCCACACAACAGCATAAAGACAGGAAGTGGCTCTAATGTTTTAACCCAGCAGAGGTTGTGTGGGTCTAACAGAGAGTTCCAGATAGCACACAGGCTGGGCATAGTGGTACATGTCTACAATCCCAGCACTCGGGAGGCCGAAGCAGGAGGATCACTAAGAGTTCAAATCCAATCTGAACTACTTAGAGAGACCCTGCCTCAAAAATACAAAAGAAAAAAATCACAAACACAGGATAACTGTGTCAACATGCTATTTTCTAGAGGTGCAGTTCTGAGGGTTGGTGCAAGGAAGAGCAGGCTGATACCTGGGAAATTGACGTGAGACTGTGAATCGGGAATGCTGAGGGCACAGATGGGGGCAGGGAATACTCCTTCTCACCTGGTACTCGAGGACAAAGATGAAGATGTTGTCGGCACCCACCGCCAGCACCAGGAAGGGCACTACTTGGAGGATGATCAGGGAGGAGGGGATGTCCAGGTAGGAGTAGAAGCCCATGGCAGCCACAACTGATCCCATCACCACGGCCACCCCTCCCAGGCCCAGCGTGGCCTTGGACTCCACCTGCAATGTAGGCAGTGGGCTTACCTCCTGGTCTCCTGGGCGCCTGCCGCCCCAGATCAACTGCCACCCAGGCTGGCCAGGAAGCAGGCAGTGGGCAGTGGGCAGGAGTCCTGGGGACCTGAGGGTGCTCTCCGTCTCCCTCCCCCTCCCTCTTCCTTTCTCCTCCACTACTCCTCTCCCTCTTCCACTGCAGCAAGGAATTTGTGTCTGCATTAAGCCCCTCTACAGAGCCACCAGCAGCTCCATGCTCTTGAAGCTACAGGTCCACGCTGTGTGTATAATCAGAGGACATTTTAAATGTCAGCTGTGTGTGTGGACACAAGAGGCTACGTTAGGGAGCAGAAATAAAACTCTTTTCAACACAGAACACTTCCAAGAAATAGCACCCTTTTAGGGGAGTCTCTTCGAATGTGCTCTCCTTGCTGTGTTGAGGGATCCTGGTTGGGAAGGTTTTGGAAGACGTGCTAAGATCCAGGGACCGGGGTGCCCGCTCTCACCGGCACGAGGTCACATCTAGAGTAGCTGCCAAGGGCCAGGGAGATGTACAAGAAGATGACAATGTAGCTGACGGCAAAGACAGGCAGGTCTTTGAGTGTCGTACGGTTGATCTCATCCTCCAGAGAGCGCTGCGAATGCACAGACCAGCCTAGTGACCACGCAGGAGTCTCAGGGCAGGGTGGCCAGCTGTGGACCCTGGTGAGGGTCTGGGAATGCCCATCACAAGCAGCCCATCTCGGTAGGCATTCATCACCCTGGGCCACCCAGGACAGGGACACTGGAACCCACCCAAGACCACTAAGTAGACCACCAGAGAGCCTGGGACCCTGCAGCCCCTACCTCAGCCATGAAGGCGACCTGGAACATGCCATTCATCCTCTTCTGGAAGGCTGCCAGCTCCTGCACGAAGGCCTCTTCCCAGAGCCTGGCTTGAGCCATCCGGGGATCACCCGCGGGGTAGTTGTTGAGGGAGAAGGTCATGATGAGGGCCTCTGCCTCCGAGTAGTCCTTCCCTGAGATGAGAAGTGCTCAGCCTCCTCCAGCTGTGCCCCTGCCTCCCACCCCACCTCTCCACTCCTGCTTGCCCTGCTCCCTCATGCTAATCACGGATTTACTCCCACACACCGCTTCCCTCTCTTAGCCAAAGGCAAAACCTTTGGGCCCAGGCACAAAAGCGGATGAGAAGCCCAGTGGTGACTGGAAGGAGTCAGGATGGGGCATCCGCAGCCCTCAGCCAGGCTGTACATCTGTCCTTGGCCACCCTGCTTACCTTTGTATCCACCCACAGCAAGGAAAGGGAAAACAGGAGCACCGTAGTCAGCCATGCAGCTCAGGCCCAGGGCAGTACCATCTTTGAAGGTGAGGGGGGCACTGGAGAGAGACCACAAAGGAAGAGGCCTTTCCCGGCCCTGTCTCATTTGTGGGGCCTGCCCCATCCCAGGCCCACCTTGGAGGAGGGGGTGTGCCTTCAGATTGGCAGGCCCAGTGGCTCCTAATGGCCCTCTTCCAACTACACCCTCTGTAGTCCCCAATGTCCTGAGTGGGGAGCCACTCTGAACACTTCCTCCATACCAGGCAGGGGCTACCCGTATCCCCTCACACAGCCAGACCTGCCAGGCCTGCCCTTATTTGCTTCCCAGAGAGGCATCGCTAAGGTCCCAGGGTCCGGATTTGAGCTGTAATCTTCTGCCCTGGTTTTGCCTGCTCTTCAGCCTCCTCCATCTACCCAGAGCCCCGCACCCTCTGAGACAGAAAGGAAGCACCTGACAATCCCCTTTCCCCTGTGATTCAGGAGAGCCAGCCTACAGCTGTCACACCTGGTACCCTCCCCGCTCTTCGCTCCCCTCAGTCCCCGAGGAAGGTTGGGGACAGTCTGTCCTTCTGAGTTGCTTCATGGCTGCTCTCCAGGCCACCCTGATGGGGGTTCACTTCCCAGGATCCTGCTGCCACTGCACTATCACCTCTGTGAAGAAGGGGAGGGAACACCACCCCCAAGGTGCCAGAAATTAGGCAGGGTTAGGGGCCCCTTGTAAACATCCCTGGCCCTCAGTAAGTTGTGATTAGCACAGCTCATCCTCCTGGAGATTGTGGGGTGTCAGGCGCACCATTTGTGTGGAGACACCACAGAAGCTCTCCCTGATCACAGCTGGGCTTGAATTTGAACAAAGCTGTAGAACTGAATTTGAACCAATTAGCAGGCTCCAATAGGAAAGTTTAGGTTTAGATCAATTTAGGCCAATTGTTGACTGGCTCAAATTTGGACCAATCAGTCTTGAATTTGGGCCAATCAGTGGGCTTGGATTTGAACCAATCACAGGCTTTCAGCAGCTATCAGTGACATTGTCCTCACTCTTCTTGGGTTGGCTTTGGAGGTTTCTCGCTGGTGCCTTTTTTTTTTTTTTTTTTTTTTTTTTTTTTTT